GGCTGAGGCAGTTTTGCTTAGCTTTGTTTTCGCTTCCAAGTTCCCGAAGTTACCTAATTCATTGTATTAAACTGCATTTTCTGTCGTAATTTGCTAATGTTTGATATCATCTCTGCATACAATCTGTTTATATCATCCCTGTTTTGAAATGGCAGGAGCTGAATGTAATACTTCGGCCAGAGACATGTTTCGGTACAGTTCTGTATGATTTTCTGACCTTTTCCTTACCCTTTCTCAGTGTTATGCACCAAAAATAAACCCAGTAATTATTTCTCCTTCCTTTATCTGGTTGAAGGAAAGAAAATGGTTGTGTTGGTCTCTCTTCATCACGTCCCCCTGTTACTTTTTGAAGATCTAGTTCAGCCGCGTAGACAGTGGGGTGGAAAGCCTCAGAGAGAACTGATTTCTGCAACTTTCATCAAAATAGGTGCCTGGGTGGGGAAGGACAAGACACCCACATTTGTTCCCTTTGGGAGGAAGAGCCAGGAGGATTCAGCTCTCATCCCTCTGCCCAGTGATTGCTTGAAGGGAAAGCAGGAGGGGAGATGGGGGACTCCCAAAGTGTGTTCTGGACCTGTCAGAAATGTAGTGTTGCTGCAGGAAGAGGTGACGCAGAACAGCAATTCACAAGAAATCTTGTTTTTTGAATGATCCTCTGTTCATGAAGAAAATACTTTTATTCTCTTGTCCTTTTCTTCAGTTGTCATATACTTATCTGTAAGTCATCATCTGTCAGGACTATGATTTTAGCACAGCTGAGAAGATGTGTTTATTATCAGTTGATTCTTGGACAAAGCCTGATGTAAATCCCTCATCCCCTCCACACTTGCCTTTTGACCTTTGCATTGGCCTGTCAAAACATTCAGACTTTTTTACAGAGGCCTGCAAAATTTCTTACTGCTCCCAGGAGAAATTGCCATCCTTGTTTTGGGCTTGTGGCCCTGAACACTGGCCTCGTAACCTCACTATCAGGGTTCTTCCTTCTGAATATGCTTTTTCTTGACTGACTGCCAAATTCTTCCCTGGAGCATGCAGTTACAGGTCAGAAAAGGAAACTCTCTCAATCTGCACAAGTTTAACTTCTTTGTGTTCTCGCTCTGTTTTGCTGTGCCATATGTTTCTGAATCTGTTTGAGATTGTGCAAAGCTGATGCACTGGAATGATGACAGCAGTGAGTTACATGGCAGGGTTAATGATGCTTCCGGGTTTAACACTGCCCAGGCACTTAATCGTATTGGTGCCTTTCAGTACAGACTGTTATTTCCTGTTGATACTGACAGCAGCAAAGGAGGGTCTCGTCATAAAGCAGAAATACAGGTTCCCACTACAGTCTTACCTAGAATAGGAATTTCCATCTTGTACAAATCAAGACTGGCAGTGAGAAGTGAGATATATAAAGCTGGTGCTGTGTGCTTATATCAGATGAAATCTTTCGAGGGTTTATGAGGATTGTGCTCCTGTGTAAGTAAATTCCTGTGTTTTAAACTTTGTTTATGAAAACTGCATGTACTTCAATATTTTCATTGTAAGTACCCAGTTCTGTTTCTTCAACCTTGCCTAAATACACCTGAGAGAGGCAGAATGTTTTACTTTAATCCTGTTTAAGAAGTTTTTATGTATTTCTTTTTCCTCACATTTTTTTGTCTGAAATTTTGTTACAAAGGTGCTCTTATCCCTGTTCATTTGTGCTGCTTTAATGAACTTTTTTCTTTCTCTGAGCATCTCTCTCAGGTACACGTGAATTATTTCTTGCTCCTCTGAGTATCTGTAAGGTTACCAGTAGGGTTCAAAGGTGCAGGAGATTGCCAGCAATCTTGTCATGACCAACAAGGAGTTTTTAGAATTAGATTTTCAGGGTACTTTAAAGTTTGGATCTTTTTGGATCTTCTTTCTAACCTGGTCTGTCTCTTCTCTGCAGCCTGGTTTTATTCTTTCATTGTTTCGTTTCTATATTCACTTTGCTTTTCTCCTTTTCACTCTTGTTACCCCTCACTTCTCTTCTCATTAGCTATCATTTTCTTTGATTTTCTTTTTCTTGGTGTCTGTGCAAGAGAATATTTTTACCCTTCAAATGTTTATACTGACAGAGTTTCAGAGAGTGAGTGAAACAGCTAACGCGTGGTCTTGGCTTCAAGTTTGTGCAAGTATTTCTCTTGCATTGTGTACTGAAATGAGCAACTCCTTAACAAATGCACATAATCTTTTCTGATGCAGTTATGTGCAGTGAGACTTCCCATGGAACACTGGGACTGTGGAGCATGCATTTCTCATAAGCTAATAACACTGCTGTGCTTGGCAAGCCTATGTTTTGAGGAGGGTTTTGTTGGGGAACTTAGAAAGCAGTCAGACAGTTTTATGAGTGTAAGCAGTTTTACTTCTGACACCATTGACCTCCCTAGGACTCTGTGATGCAAAACTGGAAGGTGAATCATTCCCATTGTTTCTTTGTGTACATCCCAATAATTGCCCCAGTGGACTTTTTGCAATACACACACAGCTTAATAACAGAGGCACTTGCCTCTCCCTCTGCAAACACTTTCCTTCCACCCTTTCTTTGGTGGTACTTTTCTGGGCAAGTATAAGGACAGCAATGAAATCTACTTACCTTCCGCTATTGACATATCTGAAGTGGAGCAATAATCTGTTTTCCCGCTACAGCCCTCTGTTGTACTGTCTTTGCTGGGGCTAGTAGCTATGCCTAGATTGGGGTCATGTTGTACTCATATAGGCCTCCCACAGAGAGTGTCAGGGTAGGGAAGGAAATATCCTGATTTCCCAACTCACGGTCTTTGACATGAGTCTGTTTCAACAATGTTTTTTTAGCAAGCTGTTTTCTCTAAAATCTATTATCATCTGTGTGTAAATAGTACTCTGAGCAAAATCAAGAATCATAAATTCCTTGGCAGATGCTTTTGTCTGCTGTCACATTCTGATACTTTCAGTTCACCTGTTTTGATAGTCACTAATTTGTCTTTGTAAGTGTTCAACTTACAGAAAGGAAAACATCATTTTCAGTCAGGAATATTTTTCTTCCAGTCTGGGGGAAAGAACAATGAAGAAAATTGAGAATGTTTTCTCTAAAACCTATTCTGAGTAAACAATCCATTAAAACCAGAAAGGTTTTTGACTTCTGATTTGAGTGTAGAAACTGGGAATCCATTGGCAGCCATAAAATGACAAAGGAGGACACCAAGTCCACCATAGCGGTAGGCCTCAAGTACATACAGAAACAGTATTTTTGCAGGATAATGAAGTGCTGGGAAGCCAGAGCTCCAGGAGAATGAGGACTTGGGGCTGGAACATAATGCCAGGCATTATCTGATATGGATAGCTCTGGTAGCAGAGCATGATTTCAAAGAAAGACTTAAAAGATTCTTGAGCCTTTTGTTCTTGCAAAGATATAAATCTTCCTGCAAAAGAATCAATATCCATACACAATTTGTAACTGTGCAAAAAAATGGTGGTGTTAAAGAATACTCTTAAATGATTATGGGGTCTTACAACTGGTGGTAAAGCTTCACGTATTCCTTCTAGATCAAGCACTGTGCTTAGTCATGAAATCTAAATTGTCTGTTCAAGGTTCCCAAAGCAGAGAGATCTAGTCTTTTGTTCCAGAACTCTGGAGGCTTGCACTGGAAACTGAAAAAGTATTGGAGAAAAGAAAATAAGACACTTCTGAGAGGATACATAAAATAGACTCTCATAGCAACAGAGAGAGGAAGAGACGGATAAGTTTCCACAGGCAGGCCTAGGTGGGCTTGGATCAACAAAGTTCAGAAAAGGGGAAAAAACTCCACCAAAACTAGAATTACACTATGGGCCACAAGAAAATCCCTGAACTATGAAATTATTTTGGATAAGCTTAGCATGTCTTGACTTTGGAGAAGAGAGTACAGCTAGCATAGTGAAAATGCTGAGGCAGGAAGTTTTGCATATTGAATTATTTTCGTTATATATGCATATTATGCATATATAGTGCATATTGTAATATTAGATTAGATTAGATTTGCTTATTATATATATTGTATGTAATACTCAATGTATGCATATTGTTTTCATGTAGTTATGCATACTTCTTGCTTTAGTAGGTGAAGTTTCAGTAACCAGTACTGGCTTCCTGTGCATGTTTGTGTGTTGAAAAGAGCTATACCGATCATAAACCCCACCACACAGAAGTCAGAAATTAGCAAGTCAATACTTTCGATAACAGAAAAGGGAGAAGTGCAAAGAGTCTTGTCAAGGCCTGTGGGAAAGATGTCCTTGCACTCACAGCCCACCACCCCTGCTACCAGGAGGGGTATCAGACATAGGCTCCTCTTCAGCGGTAAGCTTGCAAAATGCCTCCAAAGAAATTGTTACGGAAGCTCCTCTGGTCCCAGCAAGCTGAGGGACCTCTGTATATGGTTCCTTTAATGGGAACTTCAGGAGGGCCCAACGGTCAGAGGTCAAGAAGATTGATTAGGCTAATGTGGGTTAATTATTTCAATAAATCTAATATTAGGTATCATCCCAGACCTGGCAAAAACCTGAGGTGGGTGGGGTGGAATGGAAGTATCTAAATACTTAAATACATCCATAATGATTCCCATTTCTGCTACTTTTCTCTTGCTGCAGTTTCTTTTGATGCGGCAAGGAAATCCTATGAGACAGTAATTACTCCTGTGCTATTTTCTCTACACAGTATCACTGAATGCATTGCCTTAATAATGTAATTCTGGTTTGGTCTAATGATTCTGTCTTGCCTTTTTCTTTGTTTTTTATGTTTTGTTACTGACTACTTGGCAGGCGTAAGAATCTTTAAGTATCCTGCAGTATGGTGGAAGCACTGCTGGTAGATGTGTTCAGCCTACCAGCCAACCTGCAGAACAACATCCAAGGACTGCTATGTAACATAGTGGAAACTATTGAGAAATGTTCTTCCACCCCTGCTCCTTTTGTTTATGTCATGTGTTGCCAGAGGCAAGGAAGTGAAAGGAATGGTGAACACGAGTCCTTGCTTCCAGCTCTGAGAGATTTCCAGAGTCTGAAGAAAAGACTGGAGGTGGTACATGCCCCGAGTACAGCTGCTGCTTTGTACACCATCAAACAAAGCCTGGATAAAAAAGACTTAAGCATTATTAAAGTTATTCTACCTACCTTGAGAAAAGACTTAATGAAAGCATATATAGATCATCTCTTTACAGCAGTCTACCAGTTCGAATTTGAGGATTTACAGGTGGCATCTGATTGTGAAAACCTGAAGATACCTGAACCTGAGAGTGAAGGGCAAAAGCTTTCTACACAGGACATGACACTCATCCAAAGCGAGATTCAGATGTACTTGGAAAGCCTGCCAAGCCTGAAAGGGGAGCTCACCATCCTCAGATCTTCTCTCATCCCAGGTAAAGAGGATCCCAGCTAACAGATTTTAGAGAGACTGTTTCCAAGCATACTTCTTGAAGGGAATTGCAAAGTGGGTAAGATTTGGAAATGTCTTCAGGCAGCAAATAACTCTAGGTGATGTTGTAATAGAATATCTTGCCTGTAAGAGGGGGAAGTGTCAATAGAGATACAGCAAAAGACTGGCAAGGCCTGGGGTGTGATCAGAGGAAAGAGAGGCTCAGGTTTAGTGAAAGCATTACTGCAGACAGTAAAATCTTCCTTCTTTGTGGGAATTAGACACTTTGAGAGTTGCCATCATCTTCTGGAAAGGCAGAACAAGAGTTTCTCCTGGTCTGCAGCCTCAAGCATGCCTAGTTAATCAGACTGGTGTCTCTGTCCCTGCCATGGCATGACTTTTTACTGCAGCATGTCTCTGAAGCGGTGTGGTTTTGGGGTCTCATACTTTGGAGTAATCAGGGGAAAGCTGAGAGGTTTGCTAGTGCAAAAATTTTCTTTCCCTAAAAATATGTCTGCAATGATCCAGAACCTGAAAGGAACATGAGTTACTTAAAGCCATCTTTGCCTTCACTGCGCTTCAAGGTTTTCACTGTGACTTTGAAAGGATCATACTACGTTAGAGATTTTGAATCTTAACTCTGAACACGTCACTAAGCTTGTCGGCTGTTAAGATAGCAAAAATACCAGGTGTGGGGACTATCTTCTGTGTTCACAGATCCCCTCCTCCCCATTTGCCACACAGATCTGCAAATAGTCATGTTAAATCTGCCAAGATTCCTTCTTGCTCAAACCCTTCTGAACTGGCCTCAGAGGATTATGTTTATGAGCAAGAAGGAAACTTAGAACCCTTAAATTTAAATGCCATAGCTAAATACAAGTTAATGCAATACTCAACTTGATTGAGTGATTTCAGGTCTGTTCAGTATAAACCCATATAATATCTAGAGTGGTCTTGTGTTGAAAGCAATTGTTTGTTGTCTTTTTTACCTTGCCAGATGATACCTTCCTACATGGATTCACCACAAGGACAGGTGGGATCTCCTACATACCAACTCTAAGCTCCTGCAATCTCTTCAGCAGTTCCAAGCGGAGGGACCCACAAGTTGTTGTTAAAGAAAATCTCCGCCGGCTGGCTAATGCTGCAGGATTTAATCCAGAGACTTTTCACAGAGTCAAGGTATCTTATCAAACAATGGATTTCTGTAAATGGATCAGATCTTCTTTCATGTATCACTGGCTGAAACTGTAGGCATTATTCTTATCTTTCTCAGAAAGAACTTGTGAGAAGCAGGACAACTAAAATATTTATGCTGGCAGTTTATCTGTGGGAATAATAAGCCATCCAAACATCAGCCATTTGGCACTATATGGAGAAGCAGCACTGTTTCTTCCAAGTACATTCTAACATTTATCTTACCACAGACTAGAAAAATCAGATAAATGATCAGAACAGTTTCTCTTAAAAGAAAAATACAGTATCACTCCTATGATGGCTTTCTACTGTTACAGCTGCATGGCATTTGAACAAAGGAGTGCCTGATTTCCACACATAATGTGTTGGTGCCTAAGTGTTCCATGCCGAAGAAAAATCCTTGCATTAGTCAGAACTGTGGGGTTTTTTTTTTTGCTGACATCACTATCCATGTTCTGGTTTTGTCTTGACAGATTGATCATGCTAATGCTGTGTGTATTATGGGAAAGACGGAGCCTGACAGCTATGATGGAATAATTACGAATCAGAAAGGCGTTACGATAGCAGCTCCAGGTGCTGATTGCATACCTGTGCTCTTTGCTGATCCTGTCAGAAAAGCCTGCGGTGCTGCTCATTCTGGTAAGAATTTTAAATCACAGAGATCAAAACAACTGGGGGACCACTGGAAAAAATGGAGTTATGGACTAAAGATCAGCAACCAAAGGAGCACTGAGTGAGAATGAATAAATACAAGATCACATAGCAATGTAGACCTTGACCTGTTAAGCCTGTACCCTGCCAAAACAAGATTAGTCTTAAGAATATTCTGTTTCCCAAGCTATTAATTTTTAATTACTTTATAACTGTAATAATTATTATTTATATATTTATACATTTATTTTTCTGATCCAGTAGTCAAAACCAAGTAATTTTCTTTGTGCCCTGTCTTACTTCCTGTGTAAAAAGTGTCTGTAAAGCCAATGCTCCCAGAAATCATTTTAGATCAGAAGAAATACTTGTCTGAGAGTAAAACCTCATGAAAGCGAAACTAGAGCTGGGATGGTTAGCACAACCTGCGGTTATGTCTGATTTCAGAAGATGCCCCAGCTGTTAGACAAGAACATGTATCCCATGGGGAGATTTTCCTGTTGGGGCTGTTTCATTTTATTAAAAAGTCTGTACTTATGAGGTGAAGAAGACTGCACTGCTGAGAGTTTCTCCTCAGTTTTGATGCCAGTACACCCCTTCGTATAGTAGGAAGCTTCACCTCTGCCTAGAATTTGTGAATACCACCCAATTCATACAATTGGGTGTGAATACCACCCAATTCATACAATTCTACAATTCAGTAAATCAGCCAAAATACATTCAAACTTGTGAGTCATCATAAAATGATCAAAACTTTGACTTCAGAAAAGTTGGGTGCAGGTGAGTTTGTCCCACCCCTTGCCTAGCAAGCTTAGGCTACAGAAAGCGAGAGGACTGAGAACTGTAGTCTGTCTGGGAGGAGAGGGGCATGTTGTAGTTTTTAATGGGGAGAAGGCATGGAGAGAATTTTATCTGCTCTTGAAAGTTTTAAGAGTTTTATTTTGCAAGTGTTCAAACCTAATTATTGTTAAATACTTAAATCTGCAGTTGCTCCTTTCTCTGCTGCCTCTTCATTTGTCTAGTCCCTGACACACCACATTGTTCCCCCAATCCACGCTGCTGCCTTCTCCAAGCATACCTCCCACATCTAGCCTGAATTCCTGCCTTGCATCTCCCAAGTTTTGGCCTCTGATCCCACATCACAGTCCTTGCCAGGCTTCCAATTATCTTAAGTCCTTTCCTGCCTGTCCAACCCCACCTCAGTTCATGTTTAACTTGAGCACACGTTGCTGTGTGTACAAATAAAAGACAATTAGGTATAAGGTCACTCAGTCTTTGGATATAGAAAAGCAGAGGAAAAGTTATTAGCAAATCTTATCCTTCATTATGACATGCTCCCTGTGCAATGCAAACGCTTCCTGGGAATCAAACTGAGATACAAGAACTCAAAGCTGCGCTTTCTTCCATTCCAAATACTGCCAAAGTGCAAAGCTGGACTGTCTTCTGTCTGTGCCAAACAATATCTTTAGCTTGAGCCTTTTAGTCTTTTCTCTAAAATGACACTAAACCCATTTTCACCATATCACCATATTGTAAGTATAGGCTTCTGACTGTACCATATTTCTCTTGTCATATTCCCATTTATATGTTTCAAGTGCAGAAGAGCTGTAAGTTATGTTCTAGTTGCCCAAGCCAGGAAACCGGGAAAATGGAATTCTGGAGTCCTAATCTAAACTCTTCTCTCTAGTTTCCATCTCCACTAAATTACATCAGCAAAATGATAGTTAATGTGTTCAAAAAAAACCCCGAAATTATTTGTTATTAGATACATTTATTTATTTCAGATGAAAAGGTATCTATTAATTTCTACCTTTAATAATAGCATGTATTTTCAATACTATAAAATTGAAGAGAGAATTTATACAATTTTTTTTCTCAACCTCTCATTTCTCTCAGGATGGAAAGGCACACTGTTAGGAGTTTCTATGGCCACAGTAAATGCTATGGTATCTGCATATGGCTGTAACGTGAAAGATATCCTTGTGGTGCTGGGCCCATCTGTAGGACCTTGCTGCTATACACTTCCTCATGAGTCAGCGACAGAATTCCACAGAATTGATCCAAAGTGTGTGAGACTATTTGACTCTGCAAATCCTTACATTGATATTAGAAGAGCAACACGGTAAGCCTACTGCATGAACAAAAGACTAATTCCACATTTGTTATCAATAATTATTTTGATATTGTATTATTCAGCACTATTATGGTGAGGGTCCTTCCCATCTTAAAGTACACTCTAGTACTCTGCAGATCAACAAATGATACCTTTGAATGAATGGTATCATCTCATCTCTTTTGCTGGGTTTCAACTATTATTTTACCTTTTTGCTGTTAGTTTATGGATTATAGACCAATATGCAAATTAAATATGTTTTACTGGCTGCAGAAAATTGATTATTTTAGTCTAATACTGGAAGAAAGAAAAAAGAAAAGCAAATGAAAGACCAAATCACAGTATTGGCACAGCTTGTTCAATTGGTACTTGAAATGCTGTCTGAATGATAGTGTCTTACGGAATGTGAGTATATACAAAAAATACTATTTTCTGATTTTTCTTTCTTCAAGGATTCTTCTTGAGAGGGGTGGGATTCTTCCTGAGAACATCCAAGATGATTCTGTCACAGACCAGAACCAAAATGTCACTTTCTGTACAGCATGCCACCCTGATAAATTTTACTCTCACTTTCGTGATGGGACTAACTTTGGGACACAGATTGGCTTCATATCAATCAAAGACTGAGATGGTAACTCTTACTCTTCATTACTATTTAGACAGTAAGTCTGATGTGTTGTCTGTTGTCCCGCTTTTCTCATAGTTCTTTCTTCTTCCTTTCCCAGACCTTTAATGAGGAATAATGGGTTTTAAGATTCTCCTGATTCTTCTCTTTCCTGCCATTCTGAGGCAAGAATAAACGTCTGAGGTGTGGGGGCAATAATTCTTGTCTGATACAGGGTGCAAAGGAAACAAGGACAAAGCCCTTCTGCAAGGCCACATGCAAGTTCCAATTTTTTTGAGCCTCCTTGACCAAATAATTCCCCAGAAATCTCACTGACTTAGGGTGGTGAAAGCACAAAAACCCAGTCTTCATGAGCTTTTGGGCGAGACTTCTGAAAGAAGTATGACATTACTGATATAGGAAGGGAAGCCTGTATTACACATTAACTATTAGAGTACACTCAACTTTGGTAGTTTCAGCAGAAGATTATTACGGAATTATGTGCCTTGGCTTGGTTTGTTTTGATTTTTTTTGTTTTTCTTTGGATTAGTTTAAAGAAGAGATCCAAAACACTTATATTACTTTTCCTATGGAAAATAACTTGAAAGTGAGAAGTAAGGAGATATTGGGAGGCAAGGAGAGGGACAGATATTGAAACCAGATGAACCCTCACTATTCTGTATTTTTTGATTGTAGAAAAAGTAGGATTAAGAGTCTTACTATAATATGACATTTAAGTTCCTGTTTCCTTAGGATTTTTTCATTTAAACTATTGGTGCTCTGCTAAAGTCTGTTGAAACAGTCTCAACAGTACCAAGTTATTTAATAAGTATCTAAAGAGGGGAGTGGGTTTAACCTCAGTTAATTTTACTGACCAAGTAGCTGTTTTCTAGGGGCTGAAAAGCTAAAGCGATTGGAGAAGGCAAAGCTTCATCCTGCTGTAATGCTACAGCTTTGGAGTTACTAAATTGATAAAAATGCCCCATCATAAGAAATTACCCTGGTGCTGCTTTAACACAGCCTGAAGTGAAGGACTTCATCCCTGGCAATGTTCAAGGTCAGGTTGGACAGGGCCTTGAGAAACCTGGTCTAGTGGAAGATATCCCTGCCCATGGCAAGGGGGTTGGAACTAGATGATCTTTAAGGTTCCTTCCAACCCAAAGCATTCTATGATTCTAGGATTCTAATTGGGTTTACTGAGAAAATTGTAAGTGTGCACTGTTTCTTTTGGCCATAAAAACTTGCCTTTGGATGTTACAGTAGATGTGATAGTTCCTCATACATAGACAGTGGGAGATTCCTAACAGTAAACCAGTGCTGACTGTAGCTCGCAAGGTTGCCAAGCACAAGCCTCGGGACAACTGTCTGCATGACGTATTTTCTATTTTGAATGCAACGATCTTTATCAGTTCTAGACTTTTACGTCCACTAGAGGTCAGTGCTGGCTCACGCTGCACATCCAGCCCTGGCTGCATAGGGGTTTTCAAACCATGCATTTTGTAAAGGGCTGTACAGCATATGCTACTACTTTTGCCTATGTAATCATCTACCGAGTTATTCTGGTATCAGTGTTTAGAAGTATAATCTACTTTTCATTTTGTTGGACTGTGGTTTAGAGCTGACCAAATTAGAACTTTCCTTGTCCTCTGAGAGAGCAGACTTTAAATAATTTTCTTTTACTTATGAATGGTATTTCCCCAGTGGAGAGCCTGGTTCTGAGTATGTTACCCTCTGACTGTAGCCACCTGCCAAAAAATACTTCTTCCAACTTTCCTACTTCTTCTTTAGAAATATCATTCCTCTTCTGCTGCAGCACTGCAGGCCTTGACAATAAAAATTTTTACGTTTTTGGTTACCTTTTTAAAACTTCATTGTTGCTTTCATCGTTCTCAGTTTCTTTTGTATATTCACCGTAGTAATGTTCATGGCTGGGTTCTAACTGGAGGTTCATGCTCCAATAGGGACAGCGCTCACACTCCTCAACTTAATGCTGCCAAGCATGTTACTGCACACTACTTGATGGTGTGTGTGGTATGTATGCATATGATGTGTATTACTGACTTATGCCAAATATAGGATAATATAATTATATGGACATTGACAGGCTTATCTTGCTGCACTAGGTTAAAAAAACCCCAACAACCTACCTTCACCTTGTAATTCTGTCCATTTGCCCTGGTTGGTATCTAAGTGTGAACCACTTTATGAGTACTGATTGATGTAGCAGTGAAGTAAGGTGTTTCCTTCTCTGTTTCTGCTGTGGGGGCAGTAACACCATGTAGTCTTCAGTCCTTGCACCTGAAGCTCTGCCAAAGTTCATCTGTCAGTGCTCTTTGCTTAACTCTCTTCCTTTGTGGATTAAGAGCATGCCATCAAAAGCAGCTGGGTTACTCAGTAAAGCATTGTAGAATCATAGAATGCCAGGTCAGAAGAGATCTCAAGGATCATCTGGTCCAAGTGTTCTTGGAAAAAGCACAGTCTAGACAAGATGTCCCAGCACCCTGTCCTGCTGGATCTTAAAAGTGTCCAATGCAGGGGAAAAAAGTGTCCAACTTTGGGGAAGTGGTACTTCCTGGGGGAGATTATTCCAATGGCTGGTTGTTCTCATTGTGAAAAATTTTCCTCTTGTGTCCAACCAGAATCTCCTTGGGAGTAAGTTGTGCCCATTTCCCCTTGTCTTTTCCATATGACTCCTTGTAAAAAGGGTGTCTCCATCTTCTTTGTAGCCACCCTTTAAATATTGGAACATGGTGATAAGGTCTCGCCTGAGCCTTCTTTTGTCAAGGCTGAACAAACCCAGTTCTCTAAGCCTTTCCTCATATGGCAGGCTTCCCAGTTGTTAAATCACCTCTGTGACCTTAGGTGCCCATGTGCCTGCTGTTAGCTCATCTCACCTCAAGGACAGTTTTAAACTAATGCGTTTAACTTCGCAGGAAGTAGAAAGACCTTGCAGCCATGCTACTACAGTTCAAATGCTCAGCAGCGTGTTAAGTCACAGTAACATGATACTGATAGTAAGCCCTGGCTTGTTCATGCCTGCTCAAGAATGACAGCAGTGACTTTCTGTTTAGAAAAATACTATTTACAGGTCATGGTAGGACTGTGCAAGCTGAAAAGTATGTCAGAATGGGCAGAAATACCAAAGACTTTACATTTAGAAGACAAATTTTTACCACAATCTTTGTTCATTATTTCATTTCCAGTGAATTACCTAGACTGTAAAGCTGTCAAGACAGGAAGCAGCCTTTTGTACATGGATTACTGCAGTAGAGAACTCCAGGACCAGTAAGAAAATAATAATAACGTTCAGTCCCCAAACAGGCTAGGCTTTGTATCATACAGACTTTCTTTCAGAGGTCCTCTCTACAAAGGCATTTTAATTCTGGTATTAAAAAAAAAAAAAAAAAGGTTTAGAGGAAGGGCATGATAAAAAGGAGAAAAGGCTGTTTCACATTTCTATTTATTCTCTTCTCATTCCTGTTGCTCACTGAAGGAGCCAAGCAGATCAGCCCTGATTCACCACCTCTAGGGAAGCTCTTAAAATGCTTCATAAATTGTTCAGCTGTACCTACCTAATGATCAGATCCCATTTATTAACCTTGCTCATAAATTTATGAGCTGCATTTGTCCTATTATTGTTATTAAATAACATTATCAATTATGATTGTGTTATGCCCTGAGGCAAGCACAAGACATGATCACATTGAATGTTGCTTTTGATAGCTGTTACTGTGCAGTTAACATTTCTCACTATTGTAGATTCTGAATATGGGTCTCTTTATTTAGATTTATATATTTTAATATAGTGTACCAAAACATGTCTGAGAAAGGCTTTATTCACTATTCCAGTAAAACAGGGCAGTTCCAACACAGATTTCTGGTTCCAGTGCTTGGGAAAGCAGTGTGCGACTTCAGAGGCATAGACTAAAGCCTGAGATAATTACTGAAATGTTCATCCAAACTGTGGCATTTATTGCTACAGGTATGGCAAAGGTGAAAAATATTAAGGAGGTTAGATGAAAAATGTTTCTAATACATTTGTAAAGGTTAGGTCCATTGGTGCTGCTGGTCTTTCTCTACTGACAACCTGAGGAGACAGGCTGGGGCTGGAGAGTTGCTGGTCTGAGTTCTGTGTTTGATGGCTGCATTGCAAAGAAAGGTTGGACCCGATGATCCTTGAGGTCCCTTCTAACCTGATATTCCATGATTCTGATTCTATGATTTCTGAGCAGCTGCAAAATCAGAAGCTGTGTGCATGGACCTTCAGTAAAGCACTTGGGCACATCTCGGCTCACAGGAAGTGTATCATTCCTTTGAGATTACAAGCATTCAATTATAGGAAGGTGTTTCCTTTCCCCAGCAGTAACACAGTTTGCAGAGTAGTTGTCTTTGCTTCCAGTCTTATTTTCCTGATGTTTATCTCTTGCACATCGCTTTTTCTGTCCAGCACCACTCACAACTGCCCTCCAAGGTTTGTGGTGTTGGAGGAAACAGATGCCGTTCTGCCAGAGCAGCAGCAGTGTTGCTTGCTTTTGTATGCATGTGCCTTTTTTCTCCTTCTAGCAGCCATGTGAAATTTCTTGTCCTCAGCACAGGATCTTTATCAGTATCCATCAACTATTCCCATTTTACAGATTTCTGCAAGAGCTCCCAGTTTCCAGCCTGCACAGCAAAGAAGTCAATATTCCTGGATTCCCTCACTCCTGTCCTCATTTCCGCTCCATGCTTAATTTGCTGCTGGGTGATGCAAAGAGGGAGATGAACTGCACATATTTGTCCTGAGGCTCAGAGTGGGATTGGTATGCTGCTCTCCTTGATGTCATGTGTATGAAGCTTTTGTTCTCTGAGTACAAAAGCCCCTCCTGAACTCCAGCCTCTTGTGCAACAATATAACAGGACAGTGCCCTGACAGGACCAGTACGTCCTATATGTGACAGAGGAAATAATGTATTGACCTGCTGAGGGATTTATGTACTTCTGAAGACTGACAGCAAGCTCTGCCTGTAAGGCTGACTTGTTCTAC